TTTTTTTTAATGAAACACTAAATGGTAGAGTTGTATTATCATTAAATTTGTTAAATTTGGTCTTTGTCTAAGAATTTAAGGAGTTTTTAAGCCATAAAAAATAATTCATATAAAAAGTTTTATAAAAATATTTACATAATAAAAATAAAGAAAAATGAACCATTCATATGTTTTGTAACCTATCTTTATCAATACCCAATAATAAAATAATTATTTCATCCAATTAACTTGATATAATTGTTCTTAATGTGAAAAATGAGGAGTTTTTAACTAAAATAATTTTGTAGAATACTTTATAAAAACATCTACATGGTAATTCAAACTTTAGTTGCCTATATGATATATCATGTAGATGACCATTGTGGCAGTCCAGTCATTCATTAATTTTTGTAATCAAATTTACTTAAATTTAATCTTTTAAATTATTGGGCTTTTAATTAACTTATGGCTTGAGCTTTCATAATCTTAAATAGGTTGAGCTTTCATAGCTCGTTTCTTAAATGGGCTAAGCTCGTGGTGCTAGATCATAAAAAATAGCCTGATTTCATTTTATTTCGGGCTTCTACAACCGTTGTATGCTTCAACTGTGGTGAAACAGGCTATAGGGCAAAAATATGCCCTAAGGGACAGATGTAGAAGTAACAACAACAATAGCAGAAGCCTGAAAATTCCACTAGTAGCCAAGCTAGGGTATATGCACTCATAGAGTAGGATGAGAAGCAGGACCACAACGTCTTAACGGTTAACATCCTTATATCTCGAACCCTTGCTTATGCTTTGATTGATTTTGGCTCTACACATTCTTCTATATCTCATAAGTTTGTGAGCGAATTCAATGCACCTAGTCAACATGTAAGTACTCTCTTAGAAGTTTCTATGCCATTAGGAAAAGTGTTAGGTGCAAATCATACAATTAAGATAGCTAAGGTAGAGATTGATGGTAAATCCTTAGAGACGAACTTATATGTCTTGAACATGGAAGAGCTCAACATAGCTCCGTGCCAAGACAAAATAACCAAGACAAAATTGAACTTATATAGAACTTCGTCTTTCAATAACCAAGACAAAATCTCCACCCCGCGTTATTTCAGTATTGAAGGCTAGAAAACTCTTGAAGTCGGTAGTAGGGGATTATTGATGTCATTAGCTGCTGAGGAAGATGAAGAGCTAAAGGTAAGTGATGTTAAGGTGGTACATGAGTTTCTTGATGCCTTTCCTAATGATTTGAATAAAATGCCGCTAGAATGAGAATTGGAGTTCACGATGATGTGGTTCCCAGCTCCGTGCCCATTTCTAAGGCTCTTTATAGGATGGCACCAAAGAAATTACAGGAATTGAAAGCCTAATTAGAGAGATTATTGGGAAAAGGATTCATTCAACCCAGCGTATCATCGTGGGGAGTGCCAGTGTTATTTGTCAAGAAAAAAGATGGGACAATGAGGTTGTGTATTGATTATCGAGAACTGAACAAAATTGCTATCAAGAATAAGTATCCACTGCCCAGAATCAAAGACTTGTTTGACCAATTACAAGGGGTCAAAATATTTTCAAAGATCGATTTGAGGTCAGGATATCACTAGTTGAGGGTCAAACCTAGTGATGTCTCAAAGACTGCCTTTAGAACTCGACATGGTCACTACGAGTTTTTAGTTATGCCATTTGGTTTAATAAATGCTCTTGGAGTTTTTATGGACTTCATGAATCGATTTTTCCATGAATACTTGGACAAGTGTGTCATCATTTTCATTTATGACGTCTT